GCTGACATTCAGAATGATAAAATAAGTGATATCAACAAGCTGACATTATCTATGCTACAGTGTGTGTGCATAGTGGAAAAATATATCTATGCTTCAGTATTATATGACCTATAATATGTTTTTATGATAATTTATGTTTACATTTGCCCCTCCTATACATCAAGGACATACCTACCTGTAATAACTGACAATGGTAATGTTAGTTATTGTATGAGCCCCTTTACACAGTCTTATATAGCTATTTATTATTTTCCATGTCAAAAAATCACACGAAAGATTCATAGCTTTTACTCAGGACTTTTTCAAAAATATCCATGTATTGGAATGGACAAGGATCTGAGTGTCACCAGGAAATGAATAGGGGAAATACTGTTCTAATTTCATTTTCTAATGATACAATCAGCTTATAATTCAGTCTATTCATTAATTCCACAGAATATTTATCTCAAACAGTTTTTCAACATACTGTTTTCTGAAGATAGAAATTGAGGATATTTTGAGAAGTGACGACAAATCTAATACAAAATGTATACATAATGTGTTAAAAAAGCATCCCTTTATTAAGTGATTACTCATAAAAAATAAATGGATAACACATAGTAAATATCCTTATAAATAAATAAATAAATAAAATAAAATAAAATAAGGTAATTATTCCAATAATCATTCCTTTTGTGTGTGTGTGTCTGTGTGTGTGTGTGTGTGTGTGTGTGTGTGTGTGTTTGTAACATAATTGGGTTCTAAACTGTTTAAACTGACATTGTCTTTTAGGGTGGCCCTTTTTTATCATGCTAAAATACATTTAGCTGCTGCTCCCATCCACAGCCACCAGACTCCTTTGACAGAAACAGTAATTTTACCTTGCAGAAGACAAGGAGTTGCTGTTCTGACACTGTCTCTAATCGGCTGGTTAGTTTATGCTATTGTGTGACTTTCTAAACCAAACTCACATGGTGACCACAGCTGTAGGCTACACTGCTTAGCATCGCTGCGATACTCCTGTCTGCTTTTCGAGTCAGTGCCCTCTACTGGAAGGGTGTAGACTGCCATCTACTGTAGGTATTACACTGACAATAGATCTATAAATGTGTTTAAACAATACAAATGCAATATTATATTAAATCTCCATGTGTCCTCACCTGTTTAAAGATTTAATGTCATAAAAAAGCACCATCTTCCATCACCAAGTTCAAATCTTCCAACCTAACACTTAACTCACTCTCCACGCTTACACTGTCAGTGAACTGTTTTAACCACACTCTCGATCTAGTTCTGACACATGGAATTGAAATTGATAACCTAATAGTCTTTCCACAGAATCCCTCTCTATCACATCATTATTTAATAACTTTTGATTTATTTTTACTTGATTACATGCCACTCAGCAGGAGTTACAATACTAGGTGTTTATCAGACAGTGCTGTCGCAAAATTTAAGGAAATGATTCCATCGATGTTAAATTTAATACCATGTCCTTCTGTAACAGAGGTTTCCTGTACGGACTTTAAACTCTCCCGAATTGATCATCATTTTGACAGCGCTGCAGGCTCTCTGCGAACAACATTCGACTCTGTATAACCTCTTAAAAAGAAGTTAACAAAGCAAAGAAATTTTGCTCCTTGGTATGACTCTCAAACCCGTAAATTAAAAGAAATATCGCAAAAATTTGAAAGGAATTGGTGATTAACCAAACTGGAAGAATCTCATTTAGTCTGGGCAGACAGTCTCAAAACGTATAAGAGGGCCCTCCGCAATGCCAGAGCAAACTATTACTCAGCATTAATAGAAGAAAACAAGAATAACCCCAGGTTTCTTTTCAGCACTGTAGCCAGGCTGACTGAGAGTCATAGCTCTTTTGAGCCTTGTATTTCTTTAGCCCTTAGCAGTTATGATTTTATGAGCTTTTTTAATGACAAAATTCGAACTATTAGAGGCAAAATTCATCCTGCCCTCAAATGGAACCAATCTGCCCTCAAACACAGCTGTAAGACCTAATATATATCCAGATAGCTTCTCCCCAATTTCTCTTCAACAGTTGACCTCAATGATTTCTTTATCTAAATCATCAACGTGTCTCTCAGACCAGGGGTTCTTAACCTTTTTGACCTTGGGGCCCAACTTTTCCAGTACAATGTGGCCTGGGGCCCATTCAGATATTAACATGTTTAATTGATCTTACTCTTGGTTTGATTTGTATTTAATAACTAGATCAAATCCACTTCCAATTAATAAGTTAAAAACGTATCAAATAAATTACATGATACAATGTGATCATCACAGAAACATCTATTTATCATGTGGATATAAATCTACACCTCTGTCAAGATGCCGAACAGTCTAACAATTCATGGGACAAATGTGCTGCAAGAACATATTTGACAACAATTTTAAAGGAGTGTGTCAACGTAACAGTATGCGGCCCTTGCGGCCCACAGGTGCAAAACTGAATTTGTTTCGCGGCCCTCTAGGTGGTGCTCGCGGCCCAGGCCCCATGGTTAAGAATCCCTGTCTTAGACCCCATCCCAACTAGGCTACTTAAGGAAATCTTATCTTTAGTTAACACTCACATATTAGACATGATCAATATATCTTTATTAACAGGCTAACCACCACAGTCCTTTAAGGTAGCTGTAATTAAACCTCTTATAAAAAAGCCCACCCTGGATCCAGAGGTGTTAGCCAACTATAGACCGATTTCTAATCCTCCCTTTCTTTTAAAGATCCTTGAGAAAGTAGTCGCAGACCAGCTGTGTGATTTTCTCCACGATAATAATTCATTTGAGGAATTTCAGTCAGGATTTAGAGTGCATTATAGCACAGAGACAGCACTAGTTAAAAATTAAAAATGATCTTCTGATTGCTTCAGACAAAGGACTCGTCTCTGTACTTGTTTTATTAGATCTTATTGCTGCTTTTGACACTATTGACCATCAAATTCTGCTACAGAGACTGGATCATTTAATTGGCCTAAAATGTTCTGCACTAAGCTGGTTTAAATCTTATTTATCTGATCGTTTTCAGTTCACTCATGTTCATGATGAATCATCTCTACGTACTAAAGTTTGTTTTGGAGTTCCACAAGGTTCTGTGCTCAGACCAATTCTGTTCACTTTATATATGTTTCCCTTAGGTAACATTAGAAATCACTCTGTAAATTTCCACTGCTATGCAGATGATACACAATTGTATTTATCGATAAAGCCAGAAGAAATGGATCAGTTAACTAAACTTAAAGACATAAAACATAAAAACATAAAAACCCATGAGCTCCAATTTACTTAAGTTAAATTCAGACAAAACTGAAGTTATTGTTCTTGACCTCAAACACCTCAGAAATCCTTTGTCTGATATAGTTCCTCTGGATGGCATTGCTCTGGGCTCTAGCACTACCATAAGAAACCTCGGAGTAATATTTGACCAAGATCTATCTTTTAATTCTCATTTAAAACAAACCCCACGGACTGCATTTTTCCATCTGCTCAATGTTGTGAAAATTAGGCCTATCCTGTCCCAAAAAGATGCAGAAAAATTGGTCCACTCTTTTGTTACCTCTACGCTGGATTACTGTAACTCTCTATTATCAGGCGGCTCTAATAAGTCTTTGAAAACTCTCCAGCTAATCCAGAATGCAGCGGCACATACTGACAGGAACTAAGAAACAAGATCACATTTCTCCTGTTTTAGCTTCTCTGCACTGGCTCCCTGTAAAATTCAGAATTGAATTTAAAATCCTACTCCTAACTTATAAAGCTCTAAATGGTCAAGCTCCGTCATATCTTAGAGAGCTCATAGTGCCATATTATCCCACCAGAACACTGCGCTCTGAGAACGCAGAGTTACTCGTGGTCCCTAAAGTCTCCAAAAGTAGATCAGGAGCCAGAGCCTTCAGCTATCAGGCTCCTCTTCTGTGGAATCATCTTCCTGTTTCAGTCCGGGAGGCAGACACCGCCTCCACATTTAAGACTAGACTTAAGACTTTCCTTTTTGAAAAAGCTTATAGTTAGGGTTGGCTCAGGCTTGCCTTGTACCAGACCCTTGTTAGGCTGAAATGAGCCTAGCCTGCCAGGGGACCTCTATAATACACCGAGCACCTTCTCTCCCTCTTGCTCCTTTGCTAACACTCATGTCCTGTTACTGCATCTCGCTAACTCTGTCCTACTGCATGTAACTAACTCGGATTCTTCTCTGGAGCCTTTGTGCTCAACTGTCTGGCAGGTTAACTGGTATCGCAGCGGTGCGTGGTCAGTGTGACATGTGTGGTTGTGCTGCTGCCGTGGTCCTGCCTGATGCCTCCTACTGCTGCTGTTATCATTAGTCATACTTCTACTGTCATTATACACTTATGATTATTGTCACATATATATACTATCAGATATTAATATATACCAACAACATATTGTACCACAATAGCCATTTTTTTTCCCTGTTAAAGGGTTTTTTGGGGGAGTTTTTCCTTATCCGCTGTGAGGGTCCAAAGGACAGAGGGATGTCGTATGCTGTAAAGCTCTCTGAGGCAAATTTTTATTTGTGATTATTGGGCTTTATAAATAAAATTGATTGATTGATTGATTGAAATTGAACTGGGTGTCAGGGTGAGAATAGGGAGTATCAGCACTGTAACCTACATCACTGCTTTTTGCAGTGGGAGTTTCCATTTTAAAGACCAAGAAAAGAACACAGGTGGACCTGCCTTTTGAATTAAGGGAACATTTTGAACATATGATGTTTGAGGTGTTACCTGATACGGTTGTAGTGGGCACCTGACACCAATTAGCAAAAATCATTTTCCATGGCCATTGTATTCTGTATCTAACTTCATGACCATAGTTTGCATCTGAGTAACAGCGAGAATTATTCTGTAAAGACATAAAATATCAAACCATAAAAAAAGTATCAAATTATTTCAATGTAATGCTGATTGTTTTCAAAAAGTTGTAGCTTCAAACTTGTGTCTGTTTCAAGAGTATGCAGGTGGCATTTGTTCTGTAACACACACTCACCTTGGTATCTGAGCAGGACTGATCCAGTCTGAGACCTCTGATTGTGGAAGTGGATAGAGATCTGATTGCTGTGGCTTCGTACCACCAATCCCCTCATTAGAATGGACTCATTGGCCAGCATGGTGTTCTCCCCATGGCCCACGTCTTCAAACACCACCTTGTCTCCCTCAGATAGATTCACATTCATCACCTGACAGAAAACAGAGTAAGGATTAGGCCCTTTATGCGTCATATCAAAACAAAACAACAAACGATCTAGACCCTGGGATCGAGAGTCTCCCAGGACCTGAAGCAAAGACCAACATTAACGCTATTATCAAAAGAGGCCCAGCAGCGGAATCCTATGTCTGCTGAAGATGCTCAACCTGCCACGGCCGCTGATGATCTCATCCTACACAGCAATCACAGAGGGCTACATACACTATGAAAATGCTGTAAACGGTTTCACAAAACAAAGTAAAGTTCAGTTGGGGCCTGTAGTCATTTTATAGTTCACTCATGGTCAAGGTTAAATCGAATCAAAGTGTAATAAACACAAAGCACACATCCACCCACTACTCATTGCATTACAGTAATAATATTGTGTTCATTGATCATAGCCTGATTGCTTCATTTGTATTCTGATTGTTATACAAGCCTTTATTCAGTGCATTTTTCTTTTGGTACAGTCTTCCTTGTGGCTCTCGTAAATCCCAGCAGCACTGTGTATATGGCTGGTCTTCAGAGGCAAAAAAAGTCCCCCATAAAACTGACTGTTGCAAAGTGCATGACCTCAGTATATCTAGCAAGATACATAATAAGCCTCTGTTAACATGCAGCCTATTGTTTGTCACAATCCTCCATCATTGGTGTATTATTACCTCCACCAATAGTCCCACTCTTTGAGCATAATGCGGGATCTCCTGTGATGCTACATAATATGTAGCATCACGGGAGACGGAATGCTCGTCGGCAAGAAAGCGCAAAAGGGAATCAAAAAGGCAACGTGACCGGCGAATTCAAAAAACGAGGGTCAACATCGGGGTAGCCTTTCCCAGGTGGAAAGAGCTGCTGAAGGAGAAAGGTAATGCAATCACAGGCCAGTATCGCTGTCAGTGGCGCAGTAATGTGAGGAGAGGGATGAGGTGTGTGAGGTTGAGCCACTTGTCAGTTGTCAAAAGACAAGATGTGATTTGTTTGTTTCGATTTAGACCCGCCCCAACAGTCCTATGTTGTAAACACAGCCAGCATGGTGAGGAGAGGGTTTGTCAACTCATGTCGCGTGTGTCTGTGTAGGAGCCTGAATGAATACTCCATGAAATATCGGATGACATGGTTTCATCATTGTTGTCATAGCTGTTTGGTACACAGCGGCTACCGTTGTTGCAATACGCTTCTGAAACAGTGAGGCGCTAGAGTGCATCGGTTTGAATGCAATACATGATTTCACCATTAGATGGGAGAAATTCCTACACACTGTAGCTTTAAATACAAATGTGTGTGTGTGTGTGTGTGTGTGTGTGTGTGTGTGTTAATTATGTGTAATCTGTAAATATGAAACACCTTGCACAAATACAAACTTTGGGTAACACTTTCTATGAAGACTACATCTATAACGCATTATGAAGGCATTTATCATGAATTATAATGCATTTATAATGCTCTATGACTGCACTCATAAAAACACTTGATTCCTGATGCACTGTATCAACAGTCATAAAACATTACAGATGTGACTTATAATGAATTATAAGTGTCTTATGGATGCTCTTGAATAGTTGTAAACTAGAGGCTGACTGATGGGGCTTATGATGCAATATGAATACCTATACTCACCTCAACAATCTATAATAAGCATCTTAAATAATGCATACTTCATCATATCGTTTCATTGTTGGTGCTAAGTGTGATGCAGTTTCATGTATTTAAAAGAATCTATGGTCCTTCACAAGTTATTAATGTCTATCATACACTAGAATAATTTGAAAATACTTCTAAAAGACTAAAGTGTGACACCCTCTCACTTCTAAAGACAATGGGCTCTAGTTTCCTGGCACAGCGCAGGGTGGCGCAGGGTGGCGAACCCCGCACAGAGCTAGTTTTGAGCAGCGCAACCCGAGGCACGCTCAGTTTGGTAGTTTGGCAGACTGAGGTGCGCTGAGATGGGTGTGGCAGCGCAGCAGGGGGAGGTGTCGACAGATCCAGCTTGGCGCATTGACAGTTTTGTGCCAAAAGGCTTCGCCGAAGGTGCACTAAAAGCTCGCGAGCTGAAACCAGGTCTACTGTCAGCGCAGGCGGAGTGCAGCCGGTGTAAGAGAAGTTTGGCTGACCGGCAGATTGTGCACACATGTCACCGAAACCTCACAGGCAGGTTTCCAGAATGTCAGGCACATTAACGATGCAATAAATACCCACAAAAAACACTATTCAATGCAACTATCTGCAATAAGCACATAAATGTATCTCTATATCGACTGTCCCGTCACATCTGATGTCAGATCAAAGGGGATTGGCACCGTTTGGCACGCGTAATGGAAACCCAACCTGATTTGATTAACACAGCTGCAAACTAATGAGTTCACATCCCTCTCAGCCAACCACAAACAGCCACAGCATCAGATAGGGAGTATATATTCAGCATCTGTCATCTTAGAAAAGTCAAAAGAAAAGAAACAGAGTGAGACTGCGAGAGAGAAAGAGAGAGCGCAATGAGAGAAACGCAAAATGGATTTACAATTGTGGTGACCTCCTCCCAGGCTACCTTTGCATCATCAGCCCGTGGAGGTCTGCTCGCAGTTCCATATATTCGGACACTGCGAGCTTGGACCTCCCGGACTAAAACATCAGTTTCCTCCTGGGAGAAGTTTGGCTATCTGACGCTGCTCCTCTCTTCTGCCATGGCGAATTGAGTAAACTCTCATTACGCCTTCGCGCGGCGCATTTAAGGGCGAGGAGAGGGGCTCATTTGATTGGTGTGATGTGTGTAAAACCCACTCCACGCCTTCTCTCCTCCCTCTTTCCGACTTGCACAGGTAGGAGGGACAGAGGTGGGAAAGAGGAGTAGCTGCGCCAGGGCGCACGGTGTGCCAAACTTGCAAAATCCGCCTGGCCACACCCAGTTGGCGAAGCACAGGTGCTCTGCGCCTCTGCCTTGCCCGGTCTGCGAAACTAGACACAGATATCTCAAGGCTACCTTTAGGGAATTTCTTAAAATCTAGCACAAACGTGTGCATGTTTTTGGCCAGAATTTAAGAATGAATACGCTGATCAGGACAAGACTTCACACACACATTCACAAATGTTGAATAGGATATAAAGATGAAGTGATAATATTTTATATTCAAAGTTCAAAGGTCCACTTCATTGTGACATCATAATATTGTGCATAAAATGCTTTTCTGGCTATTATTCAGTGTCATAACTCAGAAACAGAAGGGGAGACATTTGGTCAGATGCTGAATTGGTGACACTTATCTTTGGTGTCCACCTTGAAACTGTGCTGATTGTATCGATGTTACTATCTTCTGTGCTGATGGGAGGAAGATGTCTGTGGATGTAAACTGTACAGGAATTGCAGTTTTCCATTTTTTAGCAGCATAATGATTATTAAAAAACAAACAAAAAAAAAACAGCAACTGACTGGAATTATTTAAAGTACGAAGAGTAAACTGAAACAGTGTATCTGTTCAAAGAGAAACTCTTGGAGCAGAGTGGTGAGTACATGACTTTGTTGTTGTATTGATTAAATAAGAACTGTAGAAATGTACATTATATTGATTTGACATGAAGATATATGGAATAGATCATTTCAGCCTCACTCCAAAGTGTTTTACCTTTTTGTCTGTGCCTTCCTGCCTTCAGTTAATATATTGTATGAGAATTTACAGTCTGCATATTAAAGCCTGTTTTTGAAAGTACCAGTGTAGGATGGGAACAGAGATGTTGCTTCATGCACAGTTTGCCGGCTCCATGTCATTGGTCCGACAGCCCATTGGTCTGACATCCCATTAGTCTGACGTCCCGTTGTTTCTAATAATTGCGGAGGATGTCTGTAGCCATGTTTCCATCAGCCTGTTTAGATGCGCATCTAGAAGTACTGCATCGGAAAATTATGATGGAAACGCCAAAATTCAAATTAAAATCCCCTGATTTGCACAAACTAAAATACGCTCGCTTTAGCCGGGTGTTGGTTGATTCGAAAAAATGTTGATTCGCAAAACGGGGGATGGAAACAGTTATGTTCAAATTAAGTCTGACGTAGCGCACCTCTCTCCATGGTGATATCCACACTCCGGGTCGGGAAGGCGGTAATGCATTTACAAGCTGGTTGCCAACCGCCAGAAAATGTAGAAGAAGAAGAAGAATGCAAGACTTGTTTTGTTTCTGGTTCTACAGAAAACTCGCGCGAGTTCGTAGTTTTCACCAAAGTCCGTACATTTAATGGAAACACACAGGATTCGTATTTCTTTTAATGCACATTTCCCAATGATTCAAATTACTTTTGGATGGAAACATAGCTTGTGATCTTAATGCCATGCGAATGCGCCATGTCTGTAATTTGTAAAGTAAAAATTCCACCGCAAATTACCTACTATATTTCGCCAAACACAGACGTCCTGTGATAATACTAGTCCCGTGCCAATCTGCATCTCAGTGATTGGGGGGTATTTGTTGTTTTTATTGCGTGCCTTTTTTCTCCCTCTTTCCCGGTTGAATTATGGAGGCTGCAGTGGAAATTATGAATGACACTTTTGACAGGTGCAAATGCAGGAGTCAGTCTCATCATCTCCGTACACAGTATGGAGACCCATTCGCAGAAACAGCAAGCTCAGATCCATCAGAAGAGCGAAATTTCGGAAGATATTGAGATGGATGACATGCGTTGCAGCATGTGGTAAGGAACATTTTTCTGTCTTTCAACAGGCTTAATACAAACGCCCTGACGGCCCGTTATCCCGACAACAACTGCCCACTGTTCTGAAGTCCCGTTGCTGCTTTGACATTTTATTTACTGTTGCCATGACGACTAACACATACCATGTTAAAAGTGATCATTTTAACACAAACCATAAGCTTTCCATAAACCTAACCAAGTGGTTTTTGTGCCTAAACTTAACGAGACCCTAACAATAGCGTTGTTACAACATAAGCTTTTAACAGTGATGTATAAGGGTTTTGGAAAGCACAAATTATGTTGTCCTGGCGATACTG